CCCTTTGTTCTGGGCTTCTCTGATGACGCGCCTACACTCATTTACTCTGAACTCATCCCAAGTGCCTTTCTTTCGAAGGTTTTCCCATTCCTTGTCTAGGGCGGCTTGGGCCTTTGGCGTATTGGCTACTTCGGCTTTTGGCACTAGCCTAGCAACGACTGCACTGAACAGTTCAAGAGCAACATCAAATTCAACTTTCTTGATTCGCTCTTTGACCAACTCACGCAATTGCGGGCGATGCGGCTCCTTCGATGACTTGTCGCGTTCCGGGAGAACGGACATCGCAGGCGCTTGCCGGATCACAGGCAATGTCGGCTCGCCCTCGCGGGCGGCGCTGGTCGGCTTTGCACTCGATGCGGCTTCGGGGTGCTCGGATCTGGCCTCCGAAGAGACTGCTGTCTCAAGCACTGCCTTCTTGGCATCTGCACGGAGCTGATCTTCGTACTGCTGGGTCAGGGCCTTTCGGTCCTGACTGCCGAGCATGACCCACATGTCAGACGGGATATCGGGAGGCCTTTTGGATCCGGCCTTCCTACGAACGAGCCGAACCCCATCCCACACATAGCCGTCGGGTACTGGTGACCCATCGGGCATTATGCTCGGGTCGAATGCTCCGCCTTTGTCGGGCATGACAGGCTTGATCTTCGCTTCGGATTTCTCCGATGCGGCGGGTTCCTCGATGTGGGCTTGCCCACGCTCCAACGGCACAGGATCATCTCGTGTTCTAGCACTGGCAACAGGTGGATGAGATGCAGGGTCTTTCAACAACCTCATCGGGAAGATGAACTCATCAGTCGGAAGCTCAATGCGCTTGGTTCGCTGTACCGTGAGGGACGCATGTTCGATATGGTAATCGAGCCCTTCTAGTTTTGCAACGAGAAACTCACCCTTCCATGCGAACCCAGGCTGAATATGGTACCCGAGAAACACGCCTTCATTTGATGTTGGCGAAGTCTTGCCTGCCTGATTGTCAGCTCGTGCAGGGTTATTCCAGAACAGTATCTTTGCTCCGAAAGGTATCTCAGCTTCATCAAAGGTCTTGTTAAACCTGAGGTACCATGGCGAATCGTTTCCATTCAACTGTGGCAGGATATTGGTCGCAACTGCATTGTGCTGGATAGCAAATGGCCACATCGACAGTGGAAACCCTGACTGAACAAGGTTCGCACGTGCTCCCTCCAACAGATGTCTGATTTCCCTTTCCACGAAAGATTTGGAAGAATCGACATATTCAATGGAGGTCTGATGACGGTACTCCAACTGCTCTATCGCGGCTTTCAATTCCCGGGAGTTATCGGTGTAAAGAACTTCAACCTCATCCCTACCGGAAATGAAATGCTGGATCCCTGCAACGGATTGCTCCGTGCTTTTGCTGGTTGATGGGTAAACGTACCTGAACTGCGTATGCACGTCCTTGATCACGAGAGCACACCACTCACCTTTGATACCTTGCTCGATGTTGGTCTTAAGGATCACATGATCAGCAATGATATGATCTCCAAACGCTTTCGTTTCGAGCCTTCCCTGCCCGCCTTTCGATCTCGCATATGGGGCAAGCATCTTGGCACGTTGGCAAGTTCGGCAAAAGGGATTCTTCGGATAGTGTGCAAACAAGTGCTCTTTGGTACTCGCTTCGGCAACCAGATCTTCTTCTTTGCGGGATCTCACAAACCGCTCAACCTCGTCGTCGGGATCATCACCTTCGTCGATGCCTTCGTCATGAACCGGCACAGGCGCTGGCTTGGATGCTGCTACTGCACTCAACGATGGCTCAGCTTCACAACTAGAGTCCATGTATGGTACATGACCGTCAACCTTGAGCTGGATCAGAGCACCATCAGGGCGAATCATGGTTGGTGCCTTCCCGGATTCCCAATGAAAGGAATATCCTTGATCCAGACACTTCACACCCAGCGACAGCACTGCGGGAGAACTCTCGAGGATGTAAGGCTGAGCAGGCTCACACAATGCATCGACATTGATGTCGGCGATTTCGGAAGCAGTGATGTTTCCGTTTGCAGTCACAAGGCGAATGGGCTGAGGAGCCTGTTTTCGAATTGCCTTGGACGCATTCCTCAGTGCAGCTTTGCTGATGAGGTCCTGCTCACTACCGGAATCAATGAGCCACACATCCTTTCCCTTTGGGGCAGGGGTGGCTGCCCTTGGCGCTTCGACATCCTTGCGAACATCGTGAGGCGGCGTGGCAACTCTCAGGCACTCATCACACGATAGGCTTGAGATGGAATCGGATTCCACATCGCACATGAAACCGCAAGCGGGCTGGGCTCCATTATCCATGGCTTTGACTACGGCATTCAACTGATTCGCGGCCTTGCGCGCTGCCTTGTTAGTCCCTTTGGTCGGCCTGGGGCAGTCCTTGGCACTTGGAAACATCCTATTGTACTGACGTTCCTCATACTCAAGCTTGAAACCATCGCCTTCGGCGGGGATCTCATGAACATGAGCATTGGTGTCGAATGACACTCCGATTGGGTCGATCGGCTTTGCGAACATGGCGTACCTGGTGCAGACTGCAGCGGCTTTGGCCTTGGGCTTAGGCTTAGGTGAATTTGCACGCTTCTTAGCCGCAGGATTTGCATTGGCCTCGCTGCTCGATGCCGCAGCGGCAGATTTGCCGCCCGTGGAGGCATGGCTAAACTTGCATTTGTCACCTCTAGTGCACTTCCCTTGGGCAAAGAAAGAACACGGTGCTTTCTCTCCTTTTCCGCCTTTGGGGGAACTCGGCCTGCCACGGGTCGCTGAGCGTCCTCGCGGCTCCTTGCGGTGCGCGTAAGGGCAGTTTGCCCCCCTCGTGCACGAGCCCTTCTGGAAATCAAAACAGTACTTCTCCTCGGTGTCCTTCGGCTTAGGTGCGCTCTTTTTCTTGGGGTCCCTCTTTTCAGGGGCGGCAGCACCAGCCTTAGGCGTCGGGGCTTTACTGGCATTGACCTTGGACACGCGCTCTCGGTTCTCGCGGAGCCTATCCCTCTCGATTAGATCCCTCATGCAACGCATTAGGAAATCGTACGATTTATTGGGATCATCATCACGGCAACGATCATATGTGTCAATGTCATACCGCAACAGATGGCAGCTTCTCACTTGGCGAAGCAAGATGTCTTTCAACACCTTCTCTTCCGGCGGCCTTTTCATGCCGGCGATCACGGAATCCCAAGCGTTCAGGAAACGCTTGAGATCAATGATTCCTTCGCCGTGTCGCGAGACACGCAACAGGTCCTCCAAGGAGTAGAGGTTTCCGGCTTCTTCACTGGTCTTGAAATATTGGTCAAACATAAACAAGACCTGCCTTCCTCTCATGGCCTTTCCCTCCTTGGCACATTCTTCCTTTGCTGTTAGGATTCGCTGAGCCAGATCGCCTTTCGCTGAACGCGTGAGCGCTGCGAGAATCTTCGTGTCTAGTGTCACGAACTTTCCCGGTTCGCCGAGCTCCTCCAACAGCTTCTTCTTGTCCTCGCGATCGGACCAGACTTCCATGATCCAAGGCCAAGCCTCGTCTGGACGGTCAGATGCGGCGCGGACGTCCTCACGAACCGATGTCTTCCATTCACGGTACGTTTCAGGAGTTGGCATCTCCTTGAATCGCAACGTCTCGCTTTCGCGAGTTCTGGGCTTTTCATCGTTCGTGTGACCCTTCACTAGCTTCATCAACATTTTGGCGAATGCTTCTTGGCCGAGGTTAGGCCCGAGGCCATCACCTTCGTCTTCATCACCATCGCCATCGCCATCATCATCAGGTGGCGGACCGCTGGGAGGCTTGCCACCCTGCTTGCGGTCAGTTGACATTGGCCCCTGAGAGAATTGCAGGGGTGGGACCGGTGCACTTGTTTTCACCGGGGATCGGCTGCTACCTGATGGCTTTTCAGCTGGTCCTTGCGGATCGCGAGCATCTGCGGGCAGTGCTTCGCATTCGGCAGTTGGAATCACGCTGGGGGTGTATTCATCCCCGTAACCGTCATAGGTAACAAGCGACCTCAACTTTTCCTTTGCATATTGAAACGGATGGGTCAACGGGTCCAACATTGACCTTTGGGACCGAGCTGACTTCATGTCGTCGGTCATCAACTCTGGTGAATCCTCTCGGGTATCACCTACCCCTTTGGGCTTCGAACCATCCTCGCGGAGGTCGTGTAGCTTCTGATACTTCTTCAGCTCATCGAGCTCGTCCTGCAGAAGCCCGTTTTGGTGGGCCATCATGTCAACCGTTCTGGCATGTGTAGCCTCGACACGGGCTGTGTCATCGGCATGCTTGGCAGCTTGCTCATGGAGGAGCTGCTGGGCTTCCGCCAGGGTGGATTCGATGGCTTGCCTAAACTCAGTTGTTTTGCGTCCCATTTCCGCTTCATGCAATGCTTGGGCATTTTCCTCACACACTTGGCTTATCCTAGCTTCAGCGAAGTTCACTTCTTGCATGAACTCATCGCTCACTCGCTGTTCGTATTCACGAATCCTATGCGACTGGGCTTGCACACATTCAGCGTAGTGTGCATGCAGCTGATTCTGTGCGGCACGGAGCTCCTCACGGTTTTCCGCTTGCAAATGCGTAACAGCTGCTTGATGCAGGGCTTCGGCTTCAGACCTAATGGCTGCATCATTCCCAAAAGCAAAGATTGCGGTATTGTACAGTTGAAGGGAATTCATCAGGGTGCGGTTGTATTGCGCATTAGCGCTTGATGCGAACATTCGCACACCGCCGCCGGTGGCGTTGCTAGCTCCGGCAGCATCCACAGGCATGCTGGATCCATCAACTGGCACAAGGGAACCGTCCATTGCTTAGAGCTAGGGGCCTACGGCTGATAACCTATAGATTCAAGGGTTACCGGTTTGGGGCCCAAAAGGAAACAACAAACCGTCCAAGTGCGCTGCTCGCACATTTTCACGCTTGAACAGCCACACTGCGGATGCAATGGATGTAAAACCCCAAACTGACCGATCAAATTCTTCACATTCTTCAGCGAATGGAGAGATGCAAAGCAAGCGTCTGGAATGAACTCAACTTTGTAGCGCGTGGGTGGCTCGCACTCGTCA